GCCGCAGTAAAGAATCAACGTTGGCGGATTTTGGTTCTTGACATCCTTTACGATCGGTTACGATGCCTAGAGTACGGAGACCTGTACGATTTCGTCAACTTAGTGAGTTTGATAGGGGCCGTATAGTGGGACTTCGGGAAGCTGGACTTTCTTTTCGGGCAATTGCAGTTAGAGTGCAAAGAAGTGTAGACACTGTGGTTAGGTGTTGTCAGGCATGGCTTCGAGAAGGCCGTACGCAAAGAGCAACGGGCACTGGACGCCGCCGTAGAACAACAGACCGTGAAGATCGCCGCCTAAGATTATTGGCCTTAAGGGACCGTTTCTCTCCACTACCAGGTCCATTGCAAATGAATGGTTTGCAGAACACGGAAGACCTATTGGCATGCGAAGTGTTTACCGACGAATGAGAAGTTTTGGCTTGTTTTCATACCGGCCACACTGGGTCCTCCCTTTAACTCGAGAACACCGACGTAATCGCCTTGAGTGGTGCAGACAACGGTCACTCTGGGATCAGGAATGGAACAGTATTGTCTTTAGTGACGAGTCTCGATTTTGTTTAGGCATGCACGATGGTCGTGCCAGGGTTAGAAGGCGACGTGGTGAAAGGAGGAATCCACAGTTTTTTGTTGAAAGACATGTTCATCACACTGTTGGAGTTATGGTTTGGGGTGCTATAGCTTATGGTTCCAGGTCACCTTTAATCTTCATCAGAGGTAACATGAACGCGCAGCGTTATATCCACGAAGTTCTAGAACCCCATCTTTTACCCTATCTTGACACCCTGGCAGATCCAACTTTCCAACAACATAATGCCCGACCACATGTTGCAAGAGTCACAATAGACTTCTTTCAACATAATGATGTCACATTGTTACCATGGCCACCAAGATCTCCCGACTTATCCCCAATTGAGCACGTGTGGGATATGATGGGTAGGAGATTGCTCAATTTGCAACGTCCTCCTCAGACTCTAGAAGCACTTCGAGAGGAGTTGGTGGTTGCCTGGAATGAGATACCACAGGAGGACATTGACCACCTGATCAGAAGCATGCCTAGGCGCGTTGGAGAATGCGTAGCACATCAGGGTGCATCCACGCATTATTAAAGGTCAAAGGGCTTTAAAGCAGTGCAATCATTTTGAAATTTTTATCATTTACTTATTATGCTTCATTAAGTACTTATACAAAATTTTATTAAAATAAAACCATTTAAACTGGGTGTTCGGATTTATATGTCACTTAGTATATGTGCTCCATTGATATACTTTTTCTCGATTTTGGGTCGCGGAAACCGAATCCGAAGCTTTTCTGAATCCTTTGATCCCGTTTGTGATGTAGCTATATCCCATAGTAGGGTTAAAAAATACCTTATACCTTGAACGATTGTGTCATATAAACTCTACAGCATACACAAAACTGTTTATTTCTTTGAGAAGGAAAACTCACCACAAAAAGCATTATTCCGCAGACATAAAAGTACCGCGTATTTTTAAAATAAGACCGCTGCACACGATTTCACTCGATGCAAAAATATATCCGTTAGATGTCATCAAAGTTTTCCCTCTTTTCAGATATTTTTGTAACCGATTTGAATGAAGCTTGGAACACGTATGTTTTGCTATAAGTCCTAATACAAATATATGACTTTTAAAAAAAAACGAGAGAGTTCGAGCAGGGTGGAAACTGTCCCCACCCCTACATAAATTATATTAGAATTTTTTTTTTCTGTTTCAGACCTTTTTGTTTACTCCATTTTTTGTCTGTTATAAAAACAGGTCATCAGAGAGAAAGAAATTGCAACGAGAGATTCGCGAGCGTCTTATTAATTTTTTAAGCGCAGTTGATGATATTACAATTTTATTCAATATAGGCAATAGTGCGAAACTTTCATGAAAGTTGTTCGATATGGCCACCATTTTCGTTCCTGCATTTAACAATATGGCGCAAAAAAAAATATAACACCAAGAACATTTTTTTGAAACCAGCTGAGAAAAACGTTTTTTTTTCTCGAAAACTATGCGGGATGGCCTGTTTTATTCAATAAAAAAAATCTTTTATATAAAAAAATCAGAGTAGTTGCGAAAAAATTCAGCTACAATTTATGTATGGGTGGGGGTAGTTTTCTTCCTTTTAGGACAGTTTTGATTTTTTGGTAAAAGTCAAATATTAGGACGTCTAGAAAAACCAAATTTAATTCAAATCGGATTATCGATTTCAAAAAATACGTCTTTATAAGAAAACTTTGACGCTAACGGAAAACTAAGCTCTTTTGCTTAGAGGTAAATCATGTCTAAACGACTTATTTTGAGACGAAAAATACGTTGTATTTCAATGTCCAAGCGATTTTAGAACACCTATTACTTTTAAATCATAAAAAAGGATTCTGATAAACATTTCCGCATGGAAAATAAGTATACTAAGTGACATATAAATCCGAACACCCAGTTTAAATGGTTTTATTTTAATAAAATTTTGTATAAGTACTTAATGAAGCATAATAAGTACGTAATAAAAATTTCAAAATGATTGCACTGCTTTAAAGCCCTTTGACCTTTAATAATGTGTGGATGCACCCTGATGTGCTACGTATTCTCCAACGCGCCTAGGCATGCTTCTGATCAGGTGGTCAATGTCCTCCTGTGGTATCTCATTCCAGGAAACCACCAACTCCTCTCGAAGTGCTTCTAGAGTCTGAGGAGGACGTTGCAAATTGAGCAATCTCCTGCCCATCATATCCCACACGTGCTCAATTGGGAATAAGTCGGGAGATCTTGGTGGCCATGGTAACAATGTGACATCATTATGTTGAAAGAAGTCTATTGTGACTTTTGCAACATGTGGTCGGGCATTATCTTGTTGGAAAGTTGGATCTGCCAGGGTGTCAAGATAGGGTAAAAGATGGGGTTCTAGAACTTCGTGGATATAACGCTGCGCGTTCATGTTACCTCTGATGAAGATTAAAGGTGACCTGGAACCATAAGCTATAGCACCCCAAACCATAACTCCAACAGTGTGATGAACATGTCTTTCAACAAAAAACTGTGGATTCCTCCTTTCACCACGTCGCCTTCTAACCCTGGCACGACCATCGTGCATACCTAAACAAAATCGAGACTCGTCACTTAAGACAATACTGTTCCATTCCTGATCCCAGAGTGACCTTTGTCTGCACCACTCAAGGCGATTACGTCGGTGTTCTCGAGTTAAAGGGAGGACCCAGTGTGGCCGGTATGAAAACAAGCCAAAACTTCTCATTCGTCGGTAAACACTTCGCATGCCAATAGGTCTTCCGTGTTCTGCAAACTATTCATTTGCAAAGGACCTGGTAGTGGAGAAACGGTCCCTTAAGGCCAATAATCTTAGGCGGCGATCTTCACGGTCTGTTGTTCTACGGCGGCGTCCAGTGCCCCTTGCTCTTTGCGTACGGCCTTCTCGAAGCCATGCCTGACAACACCTAACCACAGTGTCTAAACTTATTTGCACTCTAACTGTAATTGTCCGAAAAGAAAGTCTAGCTTCCCGATGTCCCACTATACGGCCCCTATCAAACTCACTAAGTTGACGAAATCGTACAGGTCTCCGTATTCTAGGCATCGTAACCGATCGTAAAGGATGTCAAGAACCAAAATCCGCCAACGTTGATTCTTTACTGCGGCTGAAATATTCATTTTTAGAGCGTTAGTAGTAAAAAAAAAGCAGTATAAAAACCAGAATGTCCAACTGATAAGGCTGAAAATTTTTTCACTTGTTATTTACAGTACCAATTTTACCAACTTTTATTAAAATAAAACCATTTAAACTGGGTGTTCGGATTTATATGTCACTTAGTATATACATTGTTTCTTTCTATCAAGTATGGTACAATAAATGGTTCTGACCGATTTTGGTCGCAAAATGATGCAGCAAAATTATTTCATACAAAAAAATCCTCAACAGGACCTCAAGAGAGTCTCCATTTCTGGCCTGAGTAGATTTTTCTTTCGGCGAGATGTAAACAGCTTTCAATTTCGCCAGATGGAGAGATTTGTTTGGTTTCAGTTTGGACTTTCTTTCAAACTCTATTTCAACTGCAATGTGGTTCTCTAGTTTGTCACTTGTCTGGTGTGCCAAACAAAACCTTAGACTATATGGGCCTGTTTAACTGACTTGATCCATTTGATGCCTTCAATATACGAGGGGGTACCAAAAAAAAACGGAATTATTTTTGAAAGCTATTTATTTTCAACTTTTTCATAAGTAGCCTTATATCCTTCAAAATACCGTCCACTACAACTGAAACAATTGTCCCACCAGTGCTTCCACTGCGCGAAGATAGCTGTGTGCGCAGGTGCATTATCGTGGTGGAAGAACCAGTCTCCTGACTGCCACAAATCGGGTCTTTTTTGCTGTTTCGCAATAGTCACAAAGCCTCCAAATAAAAGGTCTCGGTGACAGTGGGACCTGGGAAACAAACTCGGAATGGACCACGCCTTTGACATCAGAAGTACAAATCGGACTTGTTGATGTTTGATTTGACGACATTTTTTTGAACGGGGTGACGATGGCGTCTTCTATCGTTTGTTGCTTCGTTTCTGGGTCATAACCGTAGCACCATGTCGCCATTTTTAAATCGAGCAAACCACTCTTACACCTGAGTTTTTCCCATGTCATCACCTTTGTAAGCTATTTTCAACATTAAAACAGTCTCAGCAGCAATTTTACCAATTAGAAAGCAAAATTTCACAGCTGCACGTTGCTCACTGAACCATGCCATCGTAAAAAAGCACGAAACAGCTCTAGCAAAAATAATGACTACAGAGGAATGAAACAAGCCAGATCGGCAACACAGGTGGCGCTCAACTGGTAATCAGCCTCTAGGGGCAGAAATGTGTACTACACAAGCTCCGCCCACTGCAATGCGATTCCGGGTACCTTCTCGTACATGTTCTTAGTTTTCCTTACGAACTGATAACAATGTTGCGTTACTCGATGCCACTTTTTACATCTAAAATTATCTTTCAGTGCATGACCCACTCCTGGTACCTGCCGTGCGATTTCCACTACTTCATCATCGCCGTAGCCGTATGCCTGATCATCAACAAGGAACGCAAAGTAGGCCTCGGCACGCTGCTGATCCTGACCATCGTTTCCATGGTGATCCCATTCGCTTTGACCATCATCTATCAACGACCCGGATTGATGCACTTTTATCCGGAGTTTCTGACCGGACCGAAGACATATATTGACTTCAAGCTGACTTACAGCAAGTCGCATACGAGAGCTACCCCGTACTTCGTGGGAATGTTCGCCGGGTACATTTATTATAAGCTGAAGGGGACGAATGCTCACGTTTGCTGGGTAAGTTTGGGAAAAAAAAAACGGAAAAAATCGTAGCTTATAACTTTGAACATAACCTGTCTTCAGAAAGGACAACATATAAATACACACACATAGCAAATATACATATGCAGAGCAATATACATAATCATCCAGTTCCGGTCTTGATATTCGACCAACTTTCTTTTACATCTTCTCAGAGTTAAACACTACTTGGCTTTCTGCAACCAACAATGCAAGTTTAAGCGTGTCTTGTCGTTGAGTCATTCCTCCATAGATGGACGCTTTTGATGACGCCGATAGCGATCATAGCGAGCGAACGTGGAATGAACTATTTGCACAGCTACCTAGTCTGCAAGACGGTTTTTTGACGTTTTTTGCGCTGTATATATTCAGAGTGTATTTAATTAACAGGATTACATTTAAAATACATACAAAATAATTGACTCATCGGCAACTCATTCATATACTAAATACCTTCTTATTCGTAAACATCGGCATAACGTATAAATATAATGAAAATTATGACACTAATATGACTAGTTTAAATATTGAATACCTATGTTAATTAAAAATGCGCCATCAAAAGTTATGTGGAATAAAACAATACAGGGTGGCGTATCGAAAACGAAACAGACGCATTTACTAGCAGCTCAGTTTTTTTTTGGAAAAACGCTCAGACCCGTCGATTTTGTTTTCGAAGGGGACACAAGTTTGGCAAAAAATCACGTTAGCACGTGCAGCCCCCTAAGCGGGGGTGACACCACCCCCAAAATCTTAAATGGAAAGGGGGATCGAGCATTAACAGCCATAATTGAAAATCAGAATGATCGGCGGTACATTGCGAATAGTTCCAACAGGATGTGCCCCACCACATTACGCATTACGTGTTCGACAATATTTAGATCAGACGTTTCCAGATCGATGGATTGGTAGAAGAGGTGCCATTGAATGGCCCCCAAGATCACCAGATTTATCATCTTTGGATTTCTTTATGTCGGGTCATTTAAAAAGCAAAATGTATGCAACTCAGCCAACATCATTAGAAGACCTGCGACAAAGAATTGTGAATGAGTGCCTTCAAATTACTCCTCAAAGCAAAATCTTTATTATTGCATGGAGAGTCATGGTGGCCATTTTCAACATTTACTTGCCTAACGGGTCAGTTCATTCTTCATTTTTAAATTACTTTGCTGCCAAATGTATTGCTCATTAATTTTGTATCATTATAAAGGGAATTGAAAGACCTTTAAAATAAGGTATCACTCGACCCCCCTTTCCATTTAAGATTTTAGGGTTGGTGTCACCCCCGCCCAGGGGGCTGCACGTGCTAACGTTATTTTTGCCAAACTTGTGTCCCCCTCGAAAACAAAATCGGCGGGCCTGAGCGTTTTTCAAAAAAAAACTGAATTGCCAGTAAATGCGTCTGTTTCGTTTCCGATGCGCCACCCTGTATACTTAGTGACGCTCAGGTTTCTGATTTTCTTCTTTCTTAGATATCTGAAAAATCCGTTGGTCGAGTACTTTGTTTTATTTATTTGAAGGTATCTATGGACCTATGTTATAATCAGCTTTTTCACGTTTCAGAGGAAGTCACTGATGATCATAGGAGCATCATTGTCAGTCATGTTGATCTCCGTATTTAGTGCAAAGGTTTTCTACGATCCATACCACCCCTACAACTCTATTGAAGCAGCTAGCTACGCAGGACTTCATAGGTAATCTGATCATACTGAAAAAAGGCTTTATCAACGTTTCGGCTGCATCCATAGCAGTAAACCCGTGCACTCAGCAATTCGGTGTTTAATTTATAAAAAATCGTCGTGATATAAATGCTGAGAGGTACTGTGAATCATTACTTAAACTTAGGCCTGCTTTCTAGCGGCGTCATTCTGATTCACGGCAACGCTCGGCATAACGTTGCGGCAAGAATAAAGATACAGGTTTGTTGATAATTACTGGATCATCCACCATACAGCCCGGATTTAGTACCATCAGACTTTCATATTTTTCCAAAACTTGGAGAATTCCTCAGTGGAAAGCGCTTTGAAAATGATGACATGTTGGAAGATACGTTTACTAACTGGTTTAATGCTTAAATGTTTATGGTCACCATGTTTGAAAATGAAAAAAATGTTCATATTTCAGTTTGTGTTACGATTTATGTTCATAAAGTTTCTCTGTCTCCATTAAAATATGGTTTTCACTTAAAAAATGGTTATTTTTCATACATAACTTCTTACAGGGTGTATCTCCGCCACTGGTGCTCGCTAATTTTAAGTAAATACCTTTGAATGTATATATTTTTTTTATTTTTAAACTTCAACACCCCTTATATTTTCAATAAAGCCCTCCAAGAAAAAATGTTACATAGAAGGCCCCCCTCAAAACGCGGTCACGTGTATGATGTTTCATTTTTGGTCACGACTTGTGAATCTCCCGGTATACTTGTCACTCTGCATTATCTTGGTATATGCGTAACTACCACATTTTTTATTCCAGGGATTAATTAATTTTTGTAATTTTTAGGTTAGCTTGGGCAGTTGGAAGCGTAGGACTGCTCTATGTAGCCAGCTTTGGACATGCGAGTTTCTTCAGGAAAGTACTATCATGGCACCCATGGATACCACTCAGTAAACTGGTTTATGGCGCCTATTTGATCCACATGTCTTTCCAGCTCAGGTCTGCTGCTAAATTCATGAATCCCAGGCATCTAACATACTTCGACGTGGTAAGAATTCTTCACATAATGGATTTGTACTATTTCTGTTCTTAACGGAAGAATAAACAACCCAGATTGGTATCACATTGTACATGAAAGAGAACTCTGACATTAGAATACACGTTTTTACCGTTTCATTTGGTTACTGCAGTAACAGTCGCGATCTGTACCTAGTGTTCTCAGAGCTAAACTAGGTAAAGTCCGTTTATACCTAAGGTAAGAGTCTTAGATGAGGTTTGTCTCAAAAATAAAGTATCCAACGCTGTATCTTTGCCGCCCGTGATGCTAGGCGAAATTTGGCAACACGCTTCTATTATTTTTACACCTTGTTAAAATATGTTGAGAGCCACCAGAATTGCCTTTGCGAGCTGTACTACAGCTATGATTTTTTTTGCAGATAAGCCTCTCGTTGTCAGATATGGTGCTGGCCTTCTCGTCGGCCCTGGGCCTCTTCTTGACGATTGAAGCGCCGTTCAGGAAGATCTTCAAAGAGCTGTTGATGACTCCGAAAGAGAAAGACGGAAAATCGACGACAGGAAGAATACATTCCGGAGATAACATGATCAACAACAACAACACCAGTGTTAACAATAATCACGAAGATAGTCGGTTGTGAATTTGTGGTTGTTAATTTTTTTCGCCAAAAACAGTGTCAAATAAGTAAGACTTTCATCACCGCGTCTGGATCGGGCTCCTTTAATGAGTCTTGAATCTGATAATCTCATCAAGAGGTGTTTCCTTGGATACATTTAACCCCTTAAGTGGCTGTAGCTGCTTCCCGCGATGCCTTTTCAGGTGGCACGTCGTTTTACCGCTTGCGTACATATTCGTCTATGCCACTGACAATTGAAGTGCAGGCGTACATATTCGTCAAAGCCACGTGAATTGGGTTACTGGAAATTAAGTGCGTACATATACGGGAAAGCCACCATGACAAGTACTTTTTTTAAACAATTAATGCACCTAAAATTACTTAAAGCTTATTTATTCAAAAAGAAAATACAGCCAAAAACTTATAGAAAATATTATTCTTTTGTATGGTATATCCCAAAACAAGGTGCAGGACAGAGACCAGTACGACACTCTAAGCACCAATAACGACTCTCTTTTCGCTTCTTTTGTTCAGCACATACAACGCATCTGCAGTAAAGAAAAACGCAATTAAACAAACGTAGAGTGATAAGTTTTTGGCAGAGTTACCTTTTTGTCGGTTTTGCTTTTGTTGTTGGTGCTATTATCGATCGAAAATGTCTTTCAATCAGTCTTGTGGGCATTGGCGTTCTAGACCTTCTTTTCTTCATTTGTAAGGGTTTGCTGTATTTTTCTACTACCTTCTCACCCAGCTCCAGTAAGAAGTTCATTCTTTTTAGTTTTCCGCCAATCTTCTTATAAATTTGAAAGGCATTCAATGTAGTGACACTTAAAAAATGGAAAAACATCTTCATGTAGTACTTTATAACTCTAGTACGAGCAATTCCATAAAAGTGGAGGTAATAGTCAGATAAATCGACACCACCCATGCTGGCATTGTAGTCGATTACGCAAGCTGGCTTTTCAATTTCCTTACTTCTTGCTGCAATTTTTTTCATGCTGTCATCGTGAATTGTGCTTATCATAAGGACGTCTTTCTTGTCGCGCCATTTCTGAATCATGAGCTTTCTTCTGAAACGTGCTACGGTTTCACCTCGCTGTAATTTTACTTTTATTGCCTGTGGTATTCCTTTTCTATTTATTCTCATTGTACCAACACCATCTGTCCTTCTTTTTACTAGTTTGTCGAGCAGGTCTATGCTTGTATAATAATTATCTAAAAATAGGCAGTATCCCTTATCTAAAAGAGGATGAATCAATGTCAACACTACCCTCGAAGTAAGTGGTTCATTTTCATACAAAGCATTGTATGCGGTATCTGCCCCAGTATAAACTAAAAAGTTGTACATGTAGCCACTGCTACTTTCACATAAGGCAAAAACTTTCATGCCAAATTGTTTCCTTTTTGAGGGTATGTACGGTTTCCAAGCAAGTCTGCCTTTCCATCCTATCAAGGACTCATCTATGGATATGTTTTGCTCTGGTACATAGGCTGACATATATTTTTCTTTCAGCAAATCCAAAACTGGTAAAACTTTAATCAATTTTCGGCTTTTTGTATGCGGATTTATGGTAGAATTATCTACAAAGTGTAAAAACTTTAGCAACAAATGAAATCGTCTCTCACCAATAACTTTAGAGAAAAAAGGAGTCTCGATGCTCTCTCGTCGTGAAAAGTACATTTTATTTTCAGGCTTAGGACAGATACTTTGTAATATTAGCAACCCGAGAAGGGTCCTAATTTCATTACTATCTGTATCAAACCATTTTTTAGCTCGGGAATTTGGCTTGAGCTTATCTTGATTCGAAGAAATATACTGCGATGCGTATCTGTTTGTTTCTCTGACTATTATATCTATTAGGTCATCATCGAAAAAATATTCAAAGATTTGCACTATATCCTTTGAATTGTTCACTTGAACACCACTGTTTGACGTAAAAGGGAACGCTGGCCTAGGAATCCCATTTTCTGTCCAGGGCATTTCAAAACTTGTATCAAGATTAGGTTCATGCTCACTTTCGGTATCGCTCGCTTCAAAATCTTCGTCAAAACTGGAATCGTTATCTGATACGTCAGAACTAGTGCATTGATTCCCGTCATCACTGGAACTATCTATAGTCATTTCATCATCAGAACTAGACATTATTAAACGTAATTTGAACACAAACAATCAAGCAACACACAGCCGGTTTATTGAAACCCACACAGTAACTACTAGCTTACACCGAAATCAAATGGCGGCAGACAACAACATGCGGTGTTGATGGCATCACAAACACAGGTGGTTGTTCCTTATTGGTTATATTTACAGTGGAAGCATCGCAGGCGAGCATATTCGTGATAGCCATGGACGGCCCCAATAAAATATTCTTAGCGAATATATCCGTCATGATCAACCTGGATAAAAAATATATTGGCGGATATATCCGTCATTACCACTTAAGGGGTTAAGAAGCAAACTGCAATACAGGTACTGCATATAAACAAGGTTACGGTTACGATTGGCTTTGAACATACAGGGTGTTAAGCCTTTTCTGAAAAAGGATTGTAATCAACCTTCAACCGATTTTGATATAATTTTGCAGCAGCAGGATGATTTACCGAAATTTTAACTGAAATCGTTTAAAAAAGCGCTTTATTTGTTGATACCATAAATTAACATTATCATTTAGATCGCTGGAATTACATGTAGTTGAATGAAGATGAGTTTAAACACTAAAAAAATCAATAACGACCTCAGGAACGACTCAATCGCATTCAACGCGTTCATCTGAAAATTGAAATCATGCTCAGGAAGATTCTGCAAAATTGCTATCTTGTAAGGATGGAAAAGAAAATCATCGTGAAGAATCCTCCTCATAGGACGATCGGAAAGTCTAACGACAGATGCTTGAAACTGTCACTGAATCAGTATTTTCAGGTGATCTAATGCGAGAGACTCCAGTTCTTGACGTGTTATAATTGGACAGGTATTTTATTAGAACTTCGTATAAAAGCGCATTTTAACAACCCTAGATTAAAACTGCTCTGTTATGATAACAAAACGACTGTGAGTTGAAATGGTATTTTTCGGCGGCTATTTCTAAACTGGTGCTTTGCAACAAGGAAAATTTTACCCAGAATCAAATCTCGATATTTTCGGATCGGAAAGAGATATCGAGTTGAGGTGTTCGGGAGGTTCTTGACCAACTCTTTGAGAAGAAGTGTAGACTTCGACCATTTTTTTTATTTATACAGGGTGAGCAAACGAAGTCAGTCGGTCAGTTTTTTTTAGCAAAGTTTGGGGCTATGTCAGATTCTCAATTTTGTATGTTGGACATTTTTCTGTGCATCTTTTTGATCTTTGGACTATACTAAAAAAAGTGATTTCAAATTTTTTTCGAAAGTTGGCTATAATTCGAATTTTAAAGGAGTGTTACATTTATCCCTAAAAAGATACTTTTGGGGTTTCTCTTGGGAATGGGTATCTATCCTACTGGCTGCGCCAGTTATGTTGCCGAAATGACCGTTCGGGATTCTAAAAACATTTTTTTATTTATCCACTTATACAGGGTGAGCAAACGAAGTCAGTCGGTCAGTTTTTTTTCAAAGTTTGGGGCTATGTCAGATTCTCAATTTTTTATGTTGGACATTTTTCGATGCATCATTTTGATCTTTGGACTATACTGAAAAAAAGTGATTTCAAAATTTTTTCGAAAGTTGGCTATAACTCGAGTTTTAAAGGAGTCTTACATTTATCCCTAAAAAATGTACTTTTTGAGGTTTCTCTTGGGAATGGGTATCTATCCTACTGGCTGCGCCAGTTATGTTGCCGAAATGACCGTTCGGGATTCTAAAAACATTTTTTTATTCATCCACTTATACAGGGTGAGCAAACGAAGTCAGTCGGTCAGTTTTTTTTCAAAGTTTGGGGCTATGTCAGATTCTCAATTTTTTATGTTGAACATTTTTCTATGCATCTTTTTGATCTTTGGACTATACTGAAAAAAAGTGATTTCAATTTTTTTTCGAAAGTTGGCTATAACTCGAGTTTTAAAGGAGTCTTACATTTATCCATAAAAATGTACTTTTTGGGGTTTCTCTTGGGAATGGGTATCTATCCTACTGGCTGCGCCAGTTATGTTGCCGAAATGACCGTTCGCGATTCTGAAAACATTTTTTTATTTATCCACTTATACAGGGTGAGCAAACGAAGTCAGTCTGTCAGTTTTTTTTAGCAAAGTTTGAGGCTATGTCAGATTCTCAATTTTTCATGTTGGTCATTTTTCTATGCATCTTTTTGATCTTTGGACTATACTAAAAAAAAGTGATTTCAAATTTTTTTCGAAAGTTGGCTATAACTCGAATTTTAAAGGTGTGTTACATTTATCCCTAAAAAGGTACTTTTGGGGTTTCTCTTGGGAATAGGTATCTATCCTACTGGCTGCGCCAGTTATGTTGCCGAAATGACCGTTCGGGATTCTAAAAACATTTTTTTATTTATCCACTTATACAGGGTGAGCAAACGAAGTCAGTCGGTCAGTTTTTTTTTCAAAGTTTAGGGCTATGTCAGATTCTCAATTTTTTATATTGGACATTTTTCGATGCATCTTTTTGATCTTTGGACTATACTGAAAAAAAGTAATTTCAAATTTATTCGAAAGTTGGCTATAACTCGAGTTTTAAGGGAGTCTTACATTTATCCCTAAAAATGTACTTTTTCAGGTTTCTCTTGGGAATGGGTATCTATCCTACTGGCTGCGCCAGTTATGTTGCCGAAATAACCGTTCGGGATTCTAAAAACATTTTTTTATTTATCCACTTATACAGGGTGAGCAAACGAAGTCAGTCGGTCAGTTTTTTTTTCAAAGTTTGGGGCTATGTCAGATCCTCAATTTTTTATGTTGGACATTTTTCGATGCATCTTTTTGATCTTTGGACTATACTGAAAAAAAGTAATTTCAAAATTTATTCGAAAGTTGGCTATAACTCGAGTTTTAAGGGAGTCTTACATTTATCCCTAAAAATGTACTTTTTGAGGTTTCTCTTGGGAATGGGTATCTATCCTACTGGCTGCGCCAGTTATGTTGCCGAAATGACCGTTCGGGATTCTAAAAACATTTTTTTATTTATCCACTTATACAGGGTGAGCAAACGAAGTCAGTCGTTCAGTTTTTTTTCAAAGTTTGGGGCTATGTCAGATTCTCAATTTTTTATGTTGGACATTTTTCTATGCATCTTTTTGATCTTTGGACTATACTGAAAAAAAGTAATTTCAAATTTTTTTCGAAAGTTGGCTATAACTCGAATTTTAAAGGAGTGTTACATTTATCCCTAAAAATGTACTTTTGGGGTTTCTCTTGGGAATGGGTATCTATCCTACTGGCTGCGCCAGTTATGTTGCCGAAATGACCGTTAGGGATTCTAAAAACATTTTTTTATTTATCCTCTTATACAGGGTGAGCAAATGAAGTCAGTCGGTCAGTTTTTTTTTCAAAGTTTGGGGCTATGTCAGATTCTCAATTTTTTATATTGGACATTTTTCTATGCATCTTTTTGATCTTTGGACTATACTGAAAAAAATTAATTTCAAAACTTGTTCGAAAGTTGGCTATAACTCGAGTTTTAAAGGAGTCTTACATTTATCCCTAAAAATGTACTTTTTGAGGTTTCTCTTGGGAATGGGTATCTATCCTACTGGCTGCGCCAGTTATGTTGCCGAAATGACCGTTCGGGATTCTAAAAACATTTTTTTATTTATCCACTTATACAGGGTGAGCAAACGAAGTCAGTCGGTCAGTTTTTTTTTCAAAGTTTGGGACTATGTCAGATTCTCAATTTTTTATGTTGGACATTTTTCGATGCATCTTTTTGATCTTCGGACTATGCTGAAAAAAAGTAATTTCAAAACTTGTTCGTAAGTTGGCTATAACTCGAATTTAAAAGGAGTCTTACATTTATCCCTAAAAATGTACTTTTTGAGGTTTCTCTTGGGAATGGGTATCTATCCTACTGGCTGCGCCAGTTATGTTGCCGAAATGACCGTTAGGGATTCTAAAAACATTTTTTTATTTATCCTCTTATACAGGGTGAGCAAATGAAGTCAGTCGGTCAGTTTTTTTTTCAAAGTTTGGGGCTATGTCAGATTCTCAATTTTTTATATTGGACATTTTTCTATGCATCTTTTTGATCTTTGGACTATACTGAAAAAAATTAATTTCAAAACTTGTTCGAAAGTTGGCTATAACTCGAGTTTTAAAGGAGTCTTACATTTATCCCTAAAAATGTACTTTTTGAGGTTTCTCTTGGGAATGGGTATCTATCCTACTGGCTGCGCCAGTTATGTTGCCGAAATGACCGTTCGGGATTCTAAAAACATTTTTTTATTTATCCACTTATACAGGGTGAGCAAACGAAGTCAGTCGGTCAGTTTTTTTTTCAAAGTTTGGGACTATGTCAGATTCTCAATTTTTTATGTTGGACATTTTTCGATGCATCTTTTTGATCTTCGGACTATGCTGAAAAAAAGTAATTTCAAAACTTGTTCGTAAGTTGGCTATAACTCGAATTTAAAAGGAGTCTTACATTTATCCCTAAAAATGTACTTTTTGAGGTTTCTCTTGGGAATGGGTATCTATCCTACTGGCTGCGCCAGTTATGTTGCCGAAATGACCGTTAGGGATTATAAAAAAAGACTGACTACAATATAACTTGAAATGTTTTACAATGGATAAAATGTACAATCCGACGAACAAACAAGGAATCTGCGGAAAGCATGAAGAACCTCTATTTATCAACTCGGGCTTGGATGCTTTCCTCAGCATTTTATTCTTCCACGTGCATTCTCTTATGCATCATAACTTACATACAAATGTTAACCAACTGCGCTAGAAAATTGATGAAGCAGAAATAAAAGTTATGGAAGACGCAAATTTATTTCAAAGATTAAAGGACAATTTTATTAGGTGTCGCTTGTATATAGAAAATAATGGAGGTCATTTCGAACATGTAGGTGGTAAGGATTCTATTGCGTTTCTTGCGAATGTGACATGATACACTCATCGTAGCAAAATGAAATTTTCAGGCTTTATTCTACAAGGATTGAAATAGATTTTAGAATATAATGAATAATGAAATTCAACCTCAATTTTTTTTACCGCTCTCCAAAGTTGAGGTGGAAGCGATTTTTCACAAAAAAATTAATTTAAGATTTTTTGCGTTGATTTCTAATAAGCTCTGTTCAAAAGTGAGATAATCATTGCTAAAACTAACCATTTAGCTCATCTCGGAAAACAAATCACAGCTCCAAACCTAATGGCTTAGTTGTAATTGCGATTGAAAGTTCATTATCCCGTATTTTCAAAATTGCAAATATACTAACTATAAAATTTCGGATCACATATATACGGGTTCATTTGATAGGTTTTGTGGCCCTTTATCTCCTGACTTCCGTTGATCTACTACTAACTTTACACCCTGTCGATAAATAAAATAAATATACAGGTCGAACCGTGAATGTGTTCTCAAACAGTTGGTCAAGAATCTCTAGTACCCTTCCGAAAATCTCGAGATTTGAATTTGCGTAAAATTTTGCACGTTGCAAAGCAAACTAACTGGCCACCAGTTTCAGGGGCAGCTAAGCATTTATTATTCGATAGTGTTGCAAGCTTTGGGGATGTACATCATACATTTCATTATCCGAGCATATTTTTCAAATTGTGCAGAAGTACACTGTGATTTTTTACAAGGTCAAGGTCTTACTATAAATTGTAGCTGCTTAGTTGTATTATATGCTTCAATCAATGCAAGAACTTTCCGCGCAAAAGACAATCTAGTGATAGGTGAGTGATAACGATATTGTCACCCTATAAGTACAGGGTGCGGCAGAGAGGATGGACGGGTTTAGAAAAATCATAAAATAGTTAATTTTCACTCGAAAACAAATTTATTGATGGAATCAGGTTCACGAGGAAATAGCATAACGACAACTGGTAAAATAATGCTAGGATCTCACGAGTCAAACGGCACCCTCCCCACCTCTCTCGTAAACGGAGGCGGAGAGTACTACCCATCCCAAAAACGTCCGTCCTCTCTGCCGCACCCTGTATAAGATGTAGCTCTAAGAAGACTTTATTGTGTAATTAGGTTAAAAAAGGTGTTGTGGTTTATGTGCAGATATTCTTTGTTAATATGCAAAATAATTGTTGCCATACTGAATTTTTTAAATCCGGCACTTCTTGCGGAGTTATGGGTATCGGAATATTTGAATGATCT